TATGAACTTCCTTTTTTGAATACTTATACTATTTAATATACTTTTTGGTTATTTTAAATCATTACATTGGTTGCTGTATATCCATCACTCTTCATGTGTGTATGATTAGCAGAGATGTTTCCACTGAGCTACGTCGACCATGACGAGATGTACCTACAATTGATTGATTATTCAATCGTAGCCAGAACCACTTATGTCAAGTTCTAATAGTGTTGTTTGAACTCTATTGGTCAAATTGCCAGTGTCTCTTCAAAATAATGTAGAAATACGGCGTAGGGTACTAGATAAATAGGGCAAAGTGACTAATGTGACTGTAAACCTTCGTGGACATTTGTTGTTTCTAACTCAAACCACCTGGCATAGGAAGGGGGCAAGTGAGGAGAAAGCTATGAAAAACCGGACCAAACAAATTCCAGTGTCTGTCGGACTGATCTATATCAGGTGCAAACTACTTGTTTGGGATCAATTTGGCTATCGTGACCAATGGGTAATGATGGGTCACAATGCTCGAAATTTGTCGCATACGAAGAGAATATAACATTTGAAAAATGAGAATTCACCGTTTGAGAAGAATGTTCATAAACTGTATTGATTGAATATATGTCACATGTTAACAATAATGTGACGCTTTTGATCCTAACAAACAGCACAATCAGAGGTGATAGCATTTTCGTGCACAAAGTTATTACCTGAATGTACAAAAGAATAGTTATCAATCATGTAAACATGGAGATGTTTCTGGTAGGAAGACGTAAGCATGCTGAGAAAAATAGCACCGCTACAACGTGCTTTGCAATATTTAGGGTCCAGTGTGTTCTTAGTAAAAGAACTGAAAAGTCATCCTTATCAATTAATAATTTAATACGGGTTGATTGTAGCCAGTTACACTACAAGCTACTCGTTATCATGGCGGGACGATAACTTATAGATGAACCAATCAGATGGAGAATCTTGACACGACGTTCGTTTATCCATATAGCTAACCAGCATTTTGACATTATAGTGAATGCCAATTCGTGATGAAAATATCAATTCTAGTTCCTAATCCCTCACATTAATTTGTAACCCTATCTTGGATCTAATAACTGCATAGAGTTGCTCAAGGTCACTTCCGAGTCTCTAAAAGGTCGTCCATAAATCATAGTCATGGCGATCTATCGTCACATATAAACCCATTTCTATTTTCTAGTATTCATTGGTAGTTAAAAAGCTTTTAATCAATAAATTACCGATTATATATTTATATGATCTTGTTTTTTTTACTTTGAAATAAGATAAAATCTAGAATAATTAAAATGTAAGATTCCTTCAAAAGTTTATCTGTTAAGTGGTTAGAAATTTAACATTAATCTGGTTAGTGACTTTAGTTTAATCTAATGTTACCAAAAAGAATGAATTATTTTTTTTCACTTCAAACTACTCAAATGACCTTAAAACTAAATCTTACTTCAAACACGACTGTTATTACATTTAGTGAATAGTTATTTTCCGTATAATCAATAATTTCAGTGTAAAGCATTATATGTAGATCACTATAAAATCGATCTGATCGACACTAAGTATATCCTGGAAAAGGTAAAATATATTGATTATTTTTAAAAACCTTTATTACATCCAATCGATTTAACGATATATCAGTAATAATGATCAGCTGAATAAAAAAAATGTGATGACAACGAATCATTAGAATGACCTATTCCTAACAAATTCGATTGTTTAAATGTGGTTGTTCTTTTTTTTTCTATGTTAATAACAATAGGAAAGAAGTTATTAGAATAGTAAATTATCAATTCCTTATAGTATTTCGTATTGTTCATTATATAGTGTCGGTGTAAAAATTCAATGAATTAAACATAATGAAGTTCGAGGCTTTTTTCGGTCTTAGACAGTTGGAGGCAATTTACAAAAAGTCCCTGTTTACTCAATTTATCACTCATTATCTTTTAGAGGATTGATGCTTTCTGTAAGATTTGAACTAGTGTCAACAATCTGAGTGGATCTTCTCTAATTAACGTCTAAGTATAGTCTATGAAATGTTAAGTCATTTAAACTGGCACATTGTAATTAGATCAATTTAAGTCAATCAACCTTAAGGACTAGATAAACATGAGGTCACTTATTGTTCAGTAATTGGTTCATGTCATCACATAGTTAAACAGAACAACAATACCGATTTACCAAGTAATTATTATGGATAATCATTTTCTTGACAACGCACAATCTATTCACTTATTTGACTTACTTAAAACGAATTATCATTACAACTTAGTCAATAAAAATCTAGTCAGTTTATACATCAGCAGTATAATTGAAGTCGAACTAATTCGTAAATTAGAACTAGAAAATGAGAATATAACATGTTAGCTTGCCATTCCAGTACATGGAATATCCCTGTAAATACATATTTTAATTGCTTTAATATCTCAACTAACAGTTGATGACATATTTTCCTCATTGGTCGATAAAGTTTACCTTATTATATCTATTGATTGTCAAATGACCTAAGCATCAAACTTCTAATTCAGTATGCTGATTTCGGTATATTTACTAGTTAAAAACCAACCTACTTTAAAATCTATCAGAAGTCAACATGTCTAACTGGTTATTATTTAGACATGAATCCAGAGATTTTAGGTTTTATGCCAAAAAATTTCCTTATTGTTTACACTGCGAATTGATAATAACTAAATAACCATTGAAAACTGGAAATCACCAAACAACAGTTTCGACTAATATATGAATCTTCAGCAGTGGGCTTCCTAAACCCTGACTAGAATTGAAACTGTGAACTTCACCACTGGGGTGGCGTTGATCATTTTACATATTTTGCACCAACCAACTATCAATATCGTGTAACCATCCTTCATTTCGATTGATGGACGAATGCCTCACAAATGACATAGTTGAACCCAAAAAGGCCATAGTAACTCACTGGAACTCGATGAATTACCACTCAAAATTAGTCAGTAATGAGAATTTCTGAGTTGATATTCAATGTTTAAAAACTGAAGAAAGTTTGAATTACATTGTAAGTTAATTTGTGTTGTATAGTAATATCGATTAGTCTATTATTATAAATCAAAACCGTAGTAGTTATCTTTTTAGTAAAATACTTGGAGAATTGCCTTAAAATTTTTTTGTTACATATTTTGTATGAAAGTAGTCCGTGATATACATGTATATCACACAGCCAATAGGCTGATAGCTTTGTTTATTAAAAGTTGTGAGCTCAGATATTGATTTACCCAATGGTGAACGTATCAGTTTGGTCACCATATTCATCATTTTAAGAATTTTTATTCTATCAACTGAGCAATCAGTACACAGAAGATTGAAGTGATTAAATTGAAAAAAACCTATGAACTAGTTTATATCGTCTTTACTATGGAATTAAATTTTTCCATTGTTGATACTGAAAATTAAATTTTGATTATTTTTATGTGACATCTTTTGTGTATTATTGGAATATCACAAGTTATTTGAGAAATATAGAATGTAGCTAGTATTGGAATCTAGGTCACAGGTTTTGTACCGTTTGAGATTCATCAGTTGGATGTATCTACCATATCCAATTGTTGATGTTTACACTGCGACTCAAACCTAATGCCAGTTACTCTAAACGATGACACAATCCACACTGAGCTACTAAGTCCAGATAGCCACTATCTTGTCCAATGAATATGATTTTTATATCATTATCAGTGTGATCTTGAATTATGGACAATGGGCTGTTGTTAATTATCCTAAAATGATTAATACGCATAGACAACCTAAGGTAACAAAACGCAACAAGGACGAGAGAAATCGTTACTCTGTTACATAACGTCTGGCCCCGAACGAAGAGGAAGAACAAAAGACCAATGATCACCAGTTCAAAATCGTTTTTATATTTCAAACAGACTTAGTTTCTATACAAACAATCAAAGTACATTGAACCATAATGTAAAAAACAACAAGTATCCAAATTGGCTTCTTGTAAGGTGGTATGTAATAATATTAGTAATCTTTCCTACTCAGTACACTAAAAAAAGACAGACATGGATCGTCAATTCTTTCCAATTTTCCTATCTATCTAACTTATTAGAGGATAAATCTTAATAAGAAACAAATGTCATTCATAAAACATTTATAATAACTGGAGAATAGTGGATGATTATTTAGTTCACTTTTGAAACTCTTCAACAGTACACATTTATGGCTACCCTTATCTTAAAACTAGATTCATTGAATAGATTCCCTCCATTTCTTACCATTTCAATACTATTCACTTCATACTTAAATTCTAAGTAATACACATGACATTCAATGAACGAATAAACATTTGGTTTTCCAAACACTTTACTTTCATTGGTGATTGTATAATAGTTCAATTTAAGAAAAAAATTAAAACTAATTGTTAAGTAGTATAATTATTGAAATTGTCATGGAAATTAAATAAAAGAGTAATATAGTACAATATTTGGTTAAATCAATCATTTATAGGGCGTATATTAAAGCATATCTTTGTTGTTCTTGGAAGAGTTCCGTGTTTATTTATAATTGGGATAATGAACAATGAGGAACCGTATAGTTTTTATATATTGATATATACGTACATTTATTGAGTAAATGTTTAATATAGTTTCTCTTTTCTGTCAGTGTGTCTGTGTATAATTCACCCTTTTTTTTAATATGTGGATCATTTGAATATAATTTAACACCCACACATATATACACACACACACCTAAATACATATATATACACTTACAACACATATTTGCATGTGCTCACACATATATTAGATAAGTGTATAACGTACACACGACCAATTTTTTAGTACCGTACTGTACAATAATACAGTAATCTTTGTAAATCTTAGCTAAACATAACCATAAATGAATAATTCTGAAATCATTAAAGCAAATAATGACATAACAACAATAAAACATAAAAAACATGGAAAATTTAGTCGTTTCTTTTCACATTTTAAACATAAATCACATCATGATCATGAATTGAAATGAAAACAGTAACACCTTCACCTATATTACCAATATGTTCTATAAATCCTGAATCATTAGAGACTATATCATCTATAAATCCTAATTCACATGGTTGTTCAACAATTTCTAATTGGTTTACTGGTAAAAATAAAGAAAATGTTCATGATAAACGATCAAGTGTAAAACGGAGAAAATATGAGAAATTCAAGGAACTGTTGTAGTAAGTTTCATTGAATTCTCTATTTTTTGTTTATTGTTCATTATTTTTGTCTGTTATAATTTATCGTTTGAATGCTTATTGTCTTGGCTCTTTTAATGCTACTTTTTATATTTGATCGTCACTGATTGTTATGTCGGAAACACTTATCAATTATACTCAGAACGAGGGATCTCTGCAATTCACACGAAGCGAAAGTAAGAACACAAAACTGGTATAAGTGAAGATTTATCGACCCAAAAACACGACGACGAGACGACAACAACTCTAGTAGAAAATACACTCATTTATATATTGATTCGTACACCCATTTTTGATTAATAACTAGGATGAATTCACATACATGAAAAATACTTCGAGTTATAACAAATCACATACTGATCATAGTTCATGTCAATGGGATCCAAGAATATCGCATATTATACAGAATAAAATATCATACAAGAAGAGAAAACAAATACTACATTGAGTAATCATTACATTGAATCAAAACGGAATTAATCTTGAACCAAAACTCATAATGAGTAAATCAATCGAAAATCGACTTTTCTTTCCATCATATGATTGTCCAAAAAGGAGTAATAAAGATGGAGAGAAAGAAACCAATTTACTTGAGTATTATTTATGTTCAGTATAGGATTTTATAGAAGTTATAGAATTTTTATAATTTTTAAATTTAAGTTAGACAACCATTGAAAATAAGGAAACATTGAGCAAATGTTTCATGCTAGTATGAAATCCTCGACATTGCTCACTCACAATTCCTCAACCGGGAATTGGACCCAAGGCCTCTGATTTCGTGTACAAACTCTTAACCTCTAGACCATTTATCCGGTACCCAACCGTGTTAATGTTTAACTTCAATCAATTCAAGATATATTGTACAACCATTAAAAGTTGCCTATATTGGATACCTGTTTCATACTCGATATGATTAAACTTTAGTGGTCACGGTTATTTACTAGAACTCCAGGACTTGTTTCTTGAAGTTAGTCACTAATGAGTACGTGATTATTCCAAGTATAGGGTTTTGCGGAAATTATGGGATTAGTTATTTGTGAAAAAGTTGTCATCATTGATTATTTACAAAAACTATTCTTCTCTAACTTGAAAAAGTTTGTTATCATGTTCCCAGTAGTCAACATACTGTACTGGCTTAAGGATTAAAGTAGTTAGCTTTTAATGAGATCATGTTCTCTACATTGGCTAATCATTTACCACCATCATTACTACTACTAATCATATTAGTACTAATACTGATACCACTATTTTCGTCATGACCAATTCATGTCACTGTGCTGATGTGGTGTGGCAACTTGGGGTAATGCATATCGATGCTAGGTTCTTACGTTATGTATGATTGATTGAGGTTTAAACATCTCTATGTCCACTTCAATAGCTTTCGACCTCCCAAGGTAATATTATTAACCTCCACGCCTAGTGTATAGCTCAGAGTGTTGGTAAATAAAAGTATGCTTGTCAAATATCGATAGTAGTAAGTGTTTAAGTTATCTCAGAAAGTAAAATTTCTTATCAGTTAGGTTAATTATTACTTAGTACTCTTCAAATCCTATAAATGAATTTCGTAACTTCGTCACAATTTTTTATTTAACGTTCTATTACTGAAACAGAATATTACGAAAGCTTCCTTGGGAGGTGTGAAATTTAAATCATACAAATAAATATAAACATCATACCTGTTAAACGAGTTGATAACCAACTGGATTTAATAAATCAGTGGATAACGGGTTCGCGTTATAAGAGAAAGGTACTGGTGCGATATTATTACAATATTGGTGTATCCAACTGACAAGTCCTAAATTGAATAGGACACGTCTCTGGGATTCTACCCCTAGTTATAATCCATCTATTCTAAGTATATTTAACAAAATACATTATAACTCATTTAGTATTCTATATATTTACCAGGGTATCTAAGCTTATTGTAAAAACTTTCGAAAATTATTGGAAAGACAAACAATTATGAAGTCAGTTTATCACATCACTTGTTGACAACTAGAAATTTTGTGCTAAAATATCAAAATGCTAATCCTCCAAATAAAAGAGTAATATACTGACTGTTATCAAAATGACTAAACAATTTAGCACAATTATAAAAAAATAATAAGCAAAACAAAAACAGACAATGATATAATACTTACATAGCAATCCGAATAAATTGAACCAAAACGTTTTTAATGGATTTATCCAGTTGATTGAGACCATGAACCAACTGAATTGCCGTTCCGTCCTATTGTGGGAATCCTCGGCAGTGCGCATCCACGATCCCGCACCCCATGAAATTCGAACCCAGGGCCTTCGGTCTCGCGCGCAAACGCTTAACCTACTGGACCGCTGAGCCGGCATTCAATGGTGATAGTATCTAACATCAACCAATCCACGAAATTGCGCGATCATCTTCCATTGTACTGAGGTAGATACCTGTCTGTAGCCGACATGGATTAGCTCCACTGGTCACGGCTTCTCACTAGAACTCCGAGAATTCCCTCATGAAGCTAGTCACTAGTGGGCAAATGTTAATTACTAGTATAGGGGTTCTGGAGATTATTAAGTTTTTGATTGAGATCATGAACCGATTGATCTCAATGAAAATTTTAATAATCTCCACAACCCCTATACTAGTTATCCAGTTAATTTTGATTCACAGTGAAACGCTAGATTCAAATTGAACAGCTTTTATTGGCTCCTATTTTAATAACAATCATTTACCCATTACCCACTAGTTCTGTTAAGAAGCGATAACAGATAAATATCCTGGATACCGTATGTGATCCTAATTCCACACAGCTAAAGAGTCTGAAATATGAAAGAAATAGTTGTCTGATGTTTTCTAGCCTTTATTGGTTCTCTAGTTGATACTAAACTGTTATGCTTCAAATAGGAAATAGTTCCAATTTATAGTAGTTTTTAGTTTCCTGTTATTGGCTTTAAAAACTTCAACTGATCAGTTGGTTTTAGTATATATTCATTCTGAGTGGATTGTTTAGATATATTTAGTGAAATTAAAAATATATATATATATATTTGTACAGTAGCTAGTAATGACACATCAATACAAGGATGTACTTACACCCAGTTGATGAGTCCCATGTGGGACGAAGTACTTGTCATGTTTTTTCCATAATTAGTTTGTATCAACATTTAATTAAAACTAGTTTTATCATAAGGGGTTTTGTGGAGATTTTAGGAATTTTCACTGATTGAAATCATGAGTCAATTGAAGATAGACCACCATGGAAAACCCGGAATCATTGAACGGCCATTTCGTCCTGGTATGGGACTCCTCAGCAGTGCGCATCCACGATCCCACACCTCGCGGGATTCGAACCCAGGACCTACTGGTCTCGCGTGTTAGCACTTAACCATTAGACCACTGAGCCAGCATCCAACGGTGTTAATGTCTAACTTCAACCAATCCACGAAGTTACGTCACCGTACACCATTGTCAACAGTGAGCTGATATCTGACAACAGACCTGGTTGAACTCTACTGGTAACGACTTCTCACAAGAACTCCAAGAGTGTTTCCAGGTTTTCCATATTGGTCTAACTCCAATTGACTCATGATTTCAATCGGTGAAAACTAGTTTTTTTCAAAAAAAATAAGATAAACATTTTACATATTTAATTGAAGCAGACTAGTTCATATTAAATTATATTATGATAGGCAAGGTTATAAATGATTGAAGTACATATGACAATACAAAACTATATTTCTCTTCAAACGCTTATAACATTTAATTGTATTGTAAATAAGCAACTTCGTTATATATATAAATACCATTAATTTATTGATTAATTCATATCATCAAGTACTTTTCAATGATTAATTTCATTTAAATTTAATTATTGATTATCGATTTAAAATAAATCGTTGAAAAATCAATATATTTGAAATATTGTTTTAATTTAATTTCAATGTTGAATAACTCTTTATCTACAATCTTATTTACAACTCTTATTTTGTGTTGTTTAATTCATCCATCACATTTCAGTAACAATTAGCAGGGTTTATTTTTTCTTGATTAGTTCAAAAGATATATTTAGTATGATGGTAAGATGGTGGAGAAGATTTGTTGCTCAGGTAGGTGATTTTGATGAATTTTTGTTCTTTGAGTTGGATGGTTTGGTCGTGGAGCTTTCATCGTTCTTCTGAACGATATCATCAACATAAACTTCAGATAGAAGTCGTTCACAAGAAGGATGAAAGCTTTATGACCAAATCATCCAGCTCAGAGAACAAAACTCCATTAAAATTAGTATGATGATGAGCCACAAGGATCTATAAAATAAAGCCCAGATAATAGGAATTACACAGCTGTACCATCATAAAATTGATATATTTATTCTACTAGTATTGACCATTACCAGAAAGCAACAAAATTCCATATTGTGACTAAGTTTTTGGTTGATTATTTAATTTCGATAATGATATTAGAAGACGAAGATTATCTGAACTATGTGATATATTAGCGCAATACATTTCGAACAATCTGGTCACACATATACTTGTTAAGAGCATTTATATATAAAAATAAAAGGTCAACTAGACAGGAAACGGGGTAAGAGGAGATAAGGATAATGATAAGAGTAATAATAATAATAATGTGAACACAAAGCGAAACCTAATCACTCTGGATAATAAGTCAATATTACCAGGGTAGGTTTAAGGTAAGAACAAACTGTTTTTGAACACATAAAGGGGGTTTAAATTTTCGTATGGCTAAGGCTTCAATGAACCTTAGTATACGCCCTTTTACACTTTTATACAGCACTACAAAAGCTGAATTTAGATCAATCTTGTGACCTGTTTCAATTATATGTTTAGCAATAGAGGATGATAATCACAATTGATTGATCACTGGGTGGTGATCAATCTCATGCTTGTCTAGTCCTTATTAGTGCAGATCGAATGCTATCGATCATGTTGCAATGTGGCCACCAGTCTAGGTGACTCGACACTGCGGGCACTATGTATTGAGAT